AGTGACGCACCGACTTATATTTTAATTTAATAATAGCCAACCCGAGCTTCATTATTTTATTATCAGAAACGCAATAATCTTTTTCTGAGAGACACCTTACACCGTAATTAAACCGTAAAAGGCAGTGCGCTAATAAAAGTGGCAACACTGTTTATTTCTTTACGTTCTCAAAGGCGCAAGCATTCAAAAATTGAAAATTAAGAAGATAATGAAAGTGTATCAAAACAATCCGAATAAAACGTAAGTCTCAAATTCACAAAGAATTTTTGCCCGATGACAAGTCGCGTTGTACAACGTCGGAAAAGACCGGCGGTGGCCAATCAAAATTGTTAAAATAACAGCGAAAATGGCGATAAAAACTGTCAGAAAACATTGTGACTGAAAGTTTACAGCGGAATCTTGGCTACATCAGATTTTTAAGTCTATTGTTAGAAAGATCTCCAAGCCAGATTATTTGATGAGAAGAAACTCGGTAAATTTTATGTCATTTTAAGATGGAAAACCGTACGGTAATTTATCGACGATCGTTATAGTTGTGTTTTATGGTGAATTCGGGTAATAAAATGATACCTGAGAAAGAATTAAAGTTACCTGTGTGACATTTAAGTTTGATTAAACTTCGATTAAAACACGGAGTTTTGACCAACTCATCGTGTGTAAGAATCAATATAGAGTACACTATTCTCTTCCCAAATAAACAATCAATCAAGCCAATCAGGTTTTGGGGTTCTCCATCAAATAAGTTTTCATTCGCGTGTGGGCTTTGATGAAATATGGTTCTTTTCACTGAATAAATAAGTCATTCCCCCACCTCGTATTGTAAAAATGGAGTCAAATTAAAAACAGCGTAAGGTCAAACACAAAGGGCTTGTTCAAATTTACTCATTAATAATGATTTGTAGCTTTTAACCGATATTTTACAAATATGATATATACAATAAATGTATATTTGTAAACGATATATTTTCCTCATATATCAGTGGTAAACCAATCTCTAATACAGCCTCGTTTTGATCACAGGCAAAAGTATCGGACCTGGGAAGAAAAAATATGACCAGATTTAAAAAAAAAACCTTTGTTTTTTGTTTTGACACTTTTAAGATGAACACAGGTTTTTTTTATCAATCTGGTCATATTTTTTCTTCCCAGGTCCGATACTTTTGCCTGTGGTTTTGATAGCAATACTATTGTCTTCCAAAACGAGTAAAATGGGATACTTTTCAGATAAAAAATCACACCGATTAGTTGTGCGTATCATTTCAATTGCTTTAAAATATCTATTAAAAGTAATAAAAACAGCCAGCTTAATACGTCTCTATGATATCATTTAATTTTGATCAAGATCTCTCATCGGATATAGATAACAAATCAGGAATATCTAGGGCATCACTAAGACATGTAATAAACTTTTACTTTCTTTTATCAGGGACTGATCAAAGTTAAATTGTTTGTTTTGGTATTATCAACGTATATATTACATAAAACCTACACCAACACACCTCTTTCTACAAAGGTCTGAGGGCGGCCTATATGCATTTTCTAGTAATCCGCATTTCCTTTAAGATGTTTAAGACCCAATGCCTACCCAAAGACCGTCTATGGATTTATTAAACTGTTACACCTAGAACTTCGAGGTCAGGACAAATGGCGTTAGAATGTTTGAAGCTAACGTAAAATTTGTTTCGTTTTTAATAGTTCTCAACACTTTGTTCATTTCAGGTCGACCGCGTGAAAAAACTTTGTAATTCTTCAACAAGAAGATGCCGCCACTACAGTGTAACTTCTGAAAACCGAACACCTCTGGGACAAGTCCCAAACCAAAATGTGCGGTTTTTGGAAGTTTCCGGAATTCAGAAGTTCTAATTATTTTTTTTAAAGTAGAATATGTTGCAAGCAAATACACCATAACACTGTGTTCAAAAGTCTTCATGGACCCTGATCAACGTATGGGAGAGGGCAGTAAATAATCAAGAGGGGTTGTGCGAGGCGGGGGCGAGAAGGATGTGGTGGGGTTATTTTCTAAATATGCATACATTTATTTTGTTCGTCGAACTTCTTTGGTAGTAATGTTCAGCTCTTGTAAACACCGAATGTACGGTTATTCTATTTTAAATTTTGACAAGCTTAAGTACTCTAAGTAGGTGAAAATGTAAAGTTCTGAAAAGCGAATGAAAGGTTTTAACTGAAAAGTTTTATTGTTGCATTTAAAACGAGCTCTATTAAACTTATTAGTGTAACAAAATATAATATTGTACACGCTCTTGTAAACGTTTAAATTTCAGTTTAATTTCTCTATATGAAGTCAACTATAACTATATTAAAGTATCACATTAAGTAAAATTTTAATTACAGTAATTCTATTAAGCTTTGATATGTGACTCATTGCCTATAATTTTACAGTTTTAAGTATTTAGTGTCGTCTGCTACTAAAGAGTGTTTAATAAATGACTTGAGTTTAATGAAGTTTTCATGTTTAGACAGCTAATTAGGTATGAAAGAGAATGCCCTTAACTCTGAACAGAGGAATGTGTATCGTGTACATGTGCAATATATTAAAAACTTTATGAAGAACAGTTTAGAACAATATATATGATTTATTCACGGTATGTTACTATAAATAGCACTATATAACAAGAGCAGACTTTAAAGGGACTCTACTGAGTTTTTTGACATAACGGGTCTTAAAATAATTTTTCGACATAAATGTTCCATTTCATGTAGGTCTATACCAATAACTTTTATTTTTCATTTGTTCACTCCATATTTTTTCCAGAATTATTATTTTAAATGTAATAAAAAATTTAAAAAAAATTGAAAAGCGTTGCTTTTTACTCAAATCGGACAAAGAATAGCACAAAAACAGATTTTCTGTTTACTTCTGAGAATATTTCTTATTTATCTTCTGTATATCTTTTCATTTTAAGTGTCCGACCTGTTCTATGTGAAAAATTCAAAATTTATGTTTTAGGCTTTTTGACCTCAAGTGGAGTTCCTTTAAGAATGAATATGTTAATAGATTAAGAAATGTATAATTAATCACAACTCCTGTGGTATTTAAAATGAGACAGAATTTGCAACTTTCATCTACTGATGGAGTAAGGGCTATTTCTGCGGTATTTTGTGAGGTAATTCCCGTGGAACAAAAAATATCATTGGCTAGCTCTCTTCACTTGGACGCTTGACAACATATTTACAAATTACCGGTAAATCAACTTAGTTTTTTTTTATATTAAAAAGCAGTAGTCTGTAAAGCACTAGAGGTGGTATAGACTGAATAGATTAACCAAGTTATGTCAATCTCAGGCTAGCCTTAAGTATTGCAGAAGCTTCTTTATTAGTGACAGCATGATTTTGGCCTTTTCCGTTAAATGGTCAATTTCAAATGTATAGCAGGCAAGTCAGTTAGATTAATTCTGCAGGGTAAATGTCAAACATATTTGAAAAAAAAACACGAAAGAACAACGTCTGGCTACAAATTTTGTATCATCATGTTGCAATAATTTATAATTCTCACGTTAGCCAGATATATAGGGGGTGATTCACTGCATGTTGAAAAACACGTGCTATTTCTTCGTAACAAAATTAAATAATTCAAATTATTCATATGCTTGTCAGTGTATGCTGGGACTTAAAAGATGAACACCGCTAAATGTTTTAAAAATTAACCATGATTTTCATAATAAATGTGTTGCGGATATGTTAATATGACCTGTTTATTGGCCTACATATTTTGTAAATTTAAGGTTTTTGTAAACCCTTTTAAATGGTTCATGCATGCGCCTATCACACTTTTTTTTTGTCTAAAAAATGTAAGAAACTACTGTATAGATACTAGTTTTTAGAGCAAACCACCCATATTCGTACCACCTAGCATTTTTTCCGGCTATATGATACGCACTTAGTCGAGGAGGCAATTGAAATGAATGATTTTTGTTTCACAAACCGCTATTTCAATGCTAAAAATTGAAGTATATTAGATCATTATCTGTCAATCACACTTAAATGTCATTACATAAACTTAACAAATATGTATCTTTTGATTGTTTAAATAGATTGTATATTTCGTAGGTTACATAATATTAATAATAAGATTCCTCTATAATTTTATCATTATAATTTTCGAGAAAAAAAGCATTACAAGAAATAACTATAGAAAGACTGGAACCAATCCCGCACTCGGAACACATCGCCTTTTATTCATAAACGAAAATTGGCGGGAAGTGACAAGAAAAAGAGTAAATTTTGCCAGTCCAAAACATGTGCAACTGTCAAACTTCGTATATAGTTTTGAAAGCCATTGCCAATTATTAACCACATTGGCGCACTATAATTTTCTCATGAACATTAGAAGTGTTTGATAAAGCCTTGCTGATCTCGTTTATATAATTTTGGCAATGGTATATAAATCATTTCAGTAATAAATCAACATAACTTTATCTTGTTAATATTCTATAAAAGAAATAAACACATCATATCAGAATGATATTAATATATCTAACCTCAGGTGACACTCTTTAGTAATCACTTTGTTACATTATAAATAGTTTCGATAATTAGATGTATTATAATCACATGTTTATAATATTTGGGATAAATATTGTCAGAGCTGAATATGGATTCGAAAGACCCCCATTAACATTTTGTCAAATACGCTATAATGCAAAGAAAAGAAATGTTATTGCTTATATAATAAGTGTCATAACATACACGTGGATAGATTCTTTTTAAAACGTTACGAACGCATTCTGATTTAGAATTTTTGTTCGTAAGTTTTTAAATTCTAATTAAAGTAAACTTGCTTCTTTCTTTATCCTACATAGAAAATGCACAATGGTCCATCCATCCTTTCGAATAGTAAAATCGACACGAATATACAATATTTCGGTAAAACTTTAGTCATGGTAAAAAATAAAAATATGTAGAAAGCATATACTGAAATCAGTACATTAAAGCATTTTTTTCTGAGCTATCGTTTAAGATATAACGTATATAATAATTACCTGTTTACCGTCAACCATGGCCACACATTGCCTTGACGTTGTTCCAACAAACGTTTCTCCTAGACGTCGCCAAAACATGTCACATTCACTCCGCGTTGAAACGTCTCTAGCGTTTAAATATTTTACTGACCTTGGATTCTTGCTAATTTTTTCAACTAAAGATTTATCTATAAAATTGTATACTTTTAATTTAATTGAACGTGTCCGTTCGTCTTTTGAGAAACTATACAACCATTGTCTATGAGGTCTTTGCTTGCCGTATAAAGTCTGTTCAACGTACACGTTGAAACAATCCGGTAAAAACGTAACGTCTACCGGCCGATAGACCGCCGTCAGAGGTATTGTGGTTAATGCTTCCGCCGGAGTATCCTGGGAACTTAAAGGGCGCTCGAAACTGTGCCGGAAATGCTTAGAATGTCTTCCATTATTACTATAGTAACCAGGTAACATTTCTGATAAATATTTTAAGTCCGCAGTCAAATCAATAGCTGCACAAAATCCACACAAAAATATATGAAGAAAGTACCTAATAGCGAAAGTTTCCATTTTTGAAATTGACTTAATAAAGATGCATACTCATGAAAATGCTAATATTTAAAATAAAATCCAAGTTTCAACATAAAAGTTCTCTTTTTAACATGTCATGTCATTTTAGACCGCTAAAATTTTCTACGTTAAATAAATTATTTGCTAGGTCTTTCGTGACAGTACCTAGAAATTTATAACTCTCCGATCGAAAATATAATCCCTGGCATCAATTATTCAAAAAGTGTAGAAAATAAAACATTTTCAATACACTTTTCAGAACGTAAAAAATGAAACAATGTGCACACAAATCCAGTAAGACAATGAATAAAGTAATGATCACGGAGCGTCAACGTTTTCTGTAGTACACAATTCAGCTGGTTAACATCATTTCCAATTCAACACTGCTTCGTAACTCTGACCGATTCTGAATTTATATACAATGGCAGCGACGGAGTCAGCGAATCAAGTTTTACGCTAGACTCGATTGTCAACTTGCAGTTGAGTGCCGTTAAATCAACTCTAAGCTCCTACTTAGCCCAGATGATTTTTAAAAAGCACGCCACTCATTGACAAATTCGATGAAAATGTAAACATAAACGATCGTTTTAATATGTTAGCCTGGGAAAAACTGTTTAGCTTCGCTCGGATAACATGAATGAATGAATGAATGGTTTTAAGATTTTGAAATTATTCAATATGTATTTGAAACTTATCAAGTTAATTTATAAATGGACCGATCGAACTTAAAGATATATATTTTGTTATAACTCATATCTTGGGATGGATTAAAATATGATGACGTTTTGAATGAAAGTAGAAAAAAAAGAAATTTTGGTTATTAACATTAATAGACCCATTTTGATTGTTTTCTTACTTTACATTCCTCCTCTAGGGTAGAATAAGGTGGAGATTTTCATTCGATATACTCAGTGTGACATATTTATAATACCTTTGAAAATATTAACTTTACTTATCAAGATATTGAGTTACGCCCGAGTGAAATGTATACATACTTTGTTATCGTGCACGTGAATAGAAACAAAGCACGTGAAACTTAATGAACCCGGTATGAAATGAGATTACCGCCGGCCTTTTTTGTATTTAATATTTAGTACTCTTTAGTATTGAACTTTAAAGAAAACTTTTAAACTGTCGATTTTTTATTTAAAACTTTCTAAATAATAAAACTTTGATATTTACTCTAGTTAAGCATTTTGAGTGTTTAAAATAGTTGAACAAACATTTGTGAAGTTTTTGAACACGTACATGTCTGATATGTTTGTTGTTATTATAAATGCTATTTTTAAATGTAGTTGAGTTTAAATGGACAATAAATATCTATCTGTTACTAAAGTAAAGTGTATGCAGCTCTAGAGTCAACATTTATTTCTAGTAAAGGTATCACATCTATGGTAGCGGTATGTGAACATTGTATCATAGTTTGGAGACCTTTCTGTTGAAAATGTGTCAGGGTTAAATCGTATACATATACATGCACAGTGCGTTAACTGGAGTGCGGGTATTAGTTACCCACACTCCAGAGCATGCCCATTGATTGGCTCATTTTTGCTGGGGTTTACGTATTGTGACGGCAGAGAAAGGGAAAGCGACAGAAATGTCATATTCAGATGTTCGTTCATTGGTTCATTTTTACCGGGGTTTCATATTGTGACAACAGGGAACGTGCTTTTATGTTTGACTATGATACAAAAGAGAAAGAACACCAAAACACTCGGCAATCTGATTTATACTCGGGGGCTACGCCCCCTCGTACAAATCAGATAGCCTCGTGTTTCGGTGCTCTTTCTATTACTTATCTCTCGTATGCAACGTAACGTAAAATAACGTAACGTAACGTACTTAACGTAACGTAACGTAACGTAACATAACATACATCACTAGCAATTCTGGTTTTCTTATAAAACAACTGTTGACCTCCATTCCCATAAAGAACCACACCGTGATGCACAAATTTCGTAAAGACCATTACTGAGTTTAGAAATGTAAGGTCCTGCGATCCTTTTTTCTACATTTATATTTAGCAAACATTTTAAGTATTTATCTTTTAAAAATACCGATGAAGATACCATTTAAAAGCATCTTTAAAAGTGGTAATCTTTCTCAACAAAGGTCAACAATATTAGTCCAATTTATAAAACTGACTACCACTCCATTAAACTCGAACTCAGTTCTACACAATTTCTTATTATTTTCATAACTCTTCTTTACTTTTCAATTTAATAAGTCACATCAATTAAACTTGTATGAATCATTGTATGTTATTGGGCAAGGCTTAAACTGGGAGATAATTTTATTTATGTATAAAGTTGGTTTTGTCTGATTCCTTAATTTTCTTTTTCTTAGACAATTAAAGACATTTCAGGAAAATTTCTTCTTACTTTGCTCTTCAGTAAAAAAAAAACAATATGTAGTTGCTAGCTCGACCCCGCTGCTTTGTAATATGTTCTAGATATGTGACATGTTTAACATTGATGTTTATGTATTAAGATGATATACTTATGTATAAAATGTCTGTTCTGTTCTGTTCTTAAAAAGCCTCCCAAGTCCTATACAACCAAGTGCTGCTCTAAGAAAAACCTCCCTTACAGATTTTCCCGATGACGAAAATAACTATATGTTTGTAATTAAAACCTATTTATTTATCTTGATTTAACTCGTTGCAACCGTTAACTTTTCGTTTTATTTTTAAGATTGCAAATTGGATATATTAGTTTTATGTCAAATTTTACAAATTAATGTTATATGATATATGTGCAATTTTTTTATCACCAACAGCTCATACCAGTTGAATCAGTTTGCCACAGCGCTAACAAGACACTGAGCCATTCCTTCATTAAATGCTTTGGTCAAACCATGGTAGAAACATTTCCAAATTCACCATATTCTGCATCGTATAAAGGCCAGGCCAGGAAGTGAAAGGATGGACCGACAAAAAACATGCAAGAAATAAATATCGAAAATGACGCAATACACAAATATATTTTCTGTAAATAAAGCACTCGAATATACTTTTACAAAAGAAGCGTGTTGACCATGTCAGAAACACCACCTGCGCACCTAGCGCCGTCACGGAAAACAATTATGATAATAGTATCTCATTAAAAATGTGGGACTGTTTCTTATTAAAGTTATCGTGAGTGAGGGAATTACGTATTCCTGGCCGCAATATCCTGTGATATCCATACTACATTTACCACGTAAAACGAACAAGCATGCTGTCTTGAATTAAGAACAAATCATGTTAGCGGAAAAGCAATTAAGAAATCATAAAAATTTTAAAATGTCTATTGTGTTCATTTTACAAAATGATATATATTATTACGCAGTATGAAATGACAAATGCTGAAGTGGGTTCGGCATTCAGTAATTGTTTCGAAGTAGGGCAACATGGGAGACGAAAAAAAGGTGTCCCCCAGTACGTTGTTCAAATGTACACAGCGGTTGGTCAATGTTAAGTGAGGTCGCGTTGACTAAGAAAACACTTAAACCATGGTAATTGATTGAAAATGATTGATAACATATTTACATGTGAAGAAAATCCTGAGATGGTGTTTAAATAAAGAATGAAATGAGTTCAACTATTATCAGTCTTCGTCATTTAATGTGTTGCGCATAATGATTAATCAAAGTATTGTGGAACTAAATAAGTTTGAAATCTGATTTTTTTTTTAAATTTCTAATCATCAAACTGTAAATTTTAGACATTATACTTCTACATTGTACGGGTGAAAGCCTTAATTGGCTCACATAAGAATATAAATCTTCAATTTCGCATAGATTGCTTTGAAGCTCCGTTGTATTATATACTAATATAAAGTATATAATGATATATAAAGTGTGTACGAGATATAGTGATATAGTTGCAAATTAGAACGCTGAAAGCACATGCCAATGGTCAGCAATAATCAAGGGGCAGGAACTAAAGTGGTTGCATTCTTTGGTCAAGGTTTCATATGCCATAAATAATTTATTTTGTTATATGTTTGATTTTCCCCTTAATTGGATTTTGTTCTTCATATTTCAACAATGAAATTGGCGTTCCTTTCTTAAAGGGAAGAATCGAAGTACAAAAAAAATGTATTTAAAACGACGAATTATGTAAAATTAAAAAAATGTTTTTGGGCTTTTTGACCTCGGTGTAGCTCCTTTAATATACAACCACTATGACTCAATGCAAGATAAGACAACGCAACACAAGACAACGCAGTAAAAGACAACACAAGACAACTTAACACAACACAATGCAAGACAACACAACACATTACAAGACAACACAACATAACACCAGACAGCACAAGACAAGACAACACAACAGCCTTGGGATCAAACAAATGGTCAACAAGTAAATGGCAATCTTAACGTGCTCATAAAGATCTCTGTAGAATATATATGTAATATTCATAGATAGCAATAAACAATCGTTTTCAATTAACTGCAGTTTGAAAGACGTTTCTAATTTAGTCTAGTAGCTTGAAACGAGGTCATAAAAAGCACAACTTAAATTTGAGCTGTTCATTTATAATCATCGGAAAAAAAATAAGAAAATGAATTTACGATCTAAAATCTAAGCAAAACTAGAGTTATTAGATATCTCAACAGTGTTTAATTGTGGCTTACTATATTTAGCATATCTATTTGACAAGCACATGTTGTAAACATTGTGCATGTCAGCATTATTTCAAATGTTCTGACTCATAGTACATGTATAATGTACTCGCTATAATCATGAATTTCTCCTTCATTTATTTAATAAAGTAAATTTAAATTTGTTCCTCGTCAGAATTAAATTTTACCAAAACATATTAAAGAAATAAAATAGAAATAATTTGTTACTTTTGCTTAAACGATAGTAATATCATTTGTGATTGAATTTAAATGAAATCAAATGGTCATTGCAAAGTAAAAGGATAGTTTGCGGTCTGCTTCCGGAGAAAAAAAATGGGGTTTAAATAAGCACAATTTTAAGAGGATGTAAAAAACTTATATAAGCCATTTGCATGGGAAGGGCTTGGTATTATCGCGCTGAATATCTTAAATAGACTTGTCCATTTTTCAATCTTGATAAAACCATTCACCATTGTGGGGTAAAGATTTAATTTACTGGATGAATAGCGAACAGTGCAGACCACTGATGTGCTGGTTGAACTTGGCTTGCACTGGTCGCATTGGTATATTTAATGGTAGCTAGGAGGCAGATGGTAAAAAACAAGCTAAAATAATTATTGAACGATTGGTAAATGTAACTTTCATTTATGAATGAAAGAAGGTAAAAAAGTTGTTCAAAGATAATTATGAGCACAAAGAAAAATTGAAAGTAATGTTTCACCGATGTCCCTTTGAAAGAGATAGATATGCTGTAATATAGATAATCTGTAAGATAAATTTGATCAAACCATTAGACAATAAATGTAAATAAAGATGAGGTATGGGAAAAACAACCGTAACGTTTTAATAGAGAAATACACATGATATCTATAACAAATACATGATTCAAACAAACCATGATCTTTAAAAGGCAATGTAACTTTAAAATTAAATATATGTAAAATTATCAGTTAGATCTAGAGCACAATATTAAAACGTTACATATTTATATAGTAATGAACTTTAAACCTTT